CATCTAAGGATTTAGTGATCTGGTCATAGAAGGTCACCAGGTTGGTCTGACAGGACCTGCCGCTAATGAACCTGTGTTGGTTGCCCCTAAGTATAATCTCCCCTGCTGGCTCCTCGTGGACATGTGCCAGAATAATTCTCTCAAAAAGCTTACCCAGGATTGAGGTAAGACTAACTGGCCTATAGTTTCCTGGGTCCTCCTTCCTTCCCTATTTGAAGACAGGAACCACATTGGCCCTCTTCCAATCGTCTGGCACTACGCCAGAGCACCACAAGTGCTCATAAAGCTGGGCCAGGAGTTCCGTAATGACCTCAGCCAATTCCCTCAGTACTCGAGGGTGGAGATCGTCCGGACCAGCTGATTTGAATACATCCAGTCCCTCCAGAAGTTCCCTAACTAGTTCCTCCTAACCCTTGGCCTAGGTGTGCCTCCCCTGGGGTCTAAGGGAGGCCCAGAGGGGGGGTGGCCCTGCTCAGGAAAATGGAGGCAAAGAAATCGTTAAATATGTTAGCTTTTTCATCTGGTGTGACAGCCAAATTTCCTAGCTTGTCCTGCAGGGGCCCCATGATACCTGGAACCTTCTTTTTGCCCCCTATGTATTTAAAAAGGGACTTCTTCTGTCCTTGATCTGGGAAGCTAGTCCCAGTTCCATTTCCACCTTGGCCTCTCTGTCTGCCCCTCTGCATCCCCGAGCAACTGCTGTATAACCCTCCCTGGTGATGGCTTCTCCCTTCCATTGGGTGTGCGCCTCCCTTTTGGCTAGGAGACATTCCTGGATGCTTTTGGTGAGCCATGGGGGCTTTTGCGCCCTCCTGCCCCCTTTGATCTGTGTTGGGATTTATCTCCCTTTGGGCTTGGAGGATCGTCTCCTTAAGGAGCAACCACTCTTCTTGGACACCTGGCTTCCTTCCCCTCCTGGACCTCAGTGCTTCCCTGACTATTCTCCTTAGCTCATTGAAGTCCGCCCTCCTGTAATTTAGGGCTGCTGCCTTGCTGTAGGCCTTTGCCACCTTGTGCTGGATGGTGAATTCAAGCAGGTGATGATCGCTGTCGCCCAGGTGGTCTAGCACCCACAGCCCCCTCACCAGGTCGTCACCTGTGGCCAACACCAGGTCCAACAAGGCGTCTCCCCAGGTGGGGCTGTGCACCTCCTGGGTTAGATGGAGGTCGTGCATTTGGGCTAGGAACCTACGTCAGCGGTCAGACCTGGCTGACTGCTCTTCCCAGCAGAAGTCTTGAAAGTTCAGGTCACCCATGATGACCACATCCTTTGACCTAACTACCTCTGTGAGCTGACTTAAGAATTCCTGGTTTAGCTCCACCCCTTGGTTGGGTGGTCTGTAGTAGACCCCCACCATTAAATCTCTTTCCTCTCGACTGCCCTGTATTCTAACCCAGAGCACTTCAGAGTGCCCCTCCTTTGATTCTTTGCTAATTGACGAGGATGTGTATCCCTCCTTAATGTAGTGTGCCACGTCCCCTCCTTTCCTCCCTGTCCTATCCCTCCCCTACAGCCTTATAGCCCTTGATATTCACCGGCCCAGTCATGCGTTGGGAACAGTGTGTTGTATATGCTAAACTAACATAATCTCTTATACCATTTGCCTTTATGAAAGGGAGCAGTTGTACAGGATGCTGTTGCAAACTGTAATTAGACAATCGGAGCAACGTAAGGCTGAACAGATTAGAGTGAGGATTCTGGACAGTTTGTAGAAACAGACACCAAACTTTTTTGTCAAAATAAGATGGCTACTCAGTGCAAAGGCTGAGTATGCTAACTGCACCTCGTCATGCATCCATAGATGCATCATGAGCAGGTCCAAGGAGGTGATCCTCCCCCTCTGTGCGACATTGGTCAGGCCGCAGTTGGAGTACTGTGTCCAGTTCTGGGTGCCGCACTTCAGGAGGGATGTGGACAGCATGGAGAGGGTCCAGAGGAGGGCCACTTGCATGATCAGAGGTCAGCAGGGCAGGCCCTATGAGGAGAGGCTAGAAGACCTGAACCTGTTCAGCCTCCACAAGAGAAGGCTGAGAGGGGATCTGGTAGCCGCCTATAAACTTGCCAAGGGGGATCAGCAGGCACTGGGAGAGTCCCTGTTCCCCTGAGCGCTACTGGGAGTAACAAGAAATAACAGGCATAAGTTGACTGAGGGTAGATTCAGGCTAGACATCCGAAGGCACTACTTCACAGTGAGGGTGGCTAGGATCTGGAACCAACTTCCAAGGGAAGTGGTGCTCGCTCCTACCCTGGGGATCTTCAAAAGGAGGCTGGATAATCACCTGGCTGGGGTTGTTTGACCCCAGTACTCTTTCCTGCCCATGGTAGGGGGTTGGACTTGATGATCTGCTCAGGTCCTTTCTGACCCTACCAACTATGAAACTGAAATGTTAATCACTTGCTGTTGAACCAGAGCTTGTTAGATGTCACTTGCAAAGACTCTGCAATGACTCCTGGACTGTGTGACTTTCCTTCATATGCCTTAAACAAAAGTTGATGATTAGCAGGTCTATGTCCTGGCCCTTGGATCTTCCTCGCTTTTGTTGCTGATGGCTCAAATAATGTGAATTTTGGGGCTAATATGTTATGTTTTGGGGCTAATATGACTGGGAGAGTGTTCAGCCTTTGGTTTGGATAAAGATACTTGCTTCACAGGTATCCCTGGAATTAGTTTTCTTTTCTCTTCTGAGTTTTTTTTCTTTCTTTTTCTCAAAAGAGAGGAAGAAATTTGGTTAGAAAGAAATCCTTTTTTTCACAACCTTATGTCTTCCAACACCTAAATTTAAATGATCAGGCATCTTGTAACTCTTATCATTAAATGTTTCACATTTTTTTTATATATTTTTCTTTGATAAATATTTTTACATTAATAAACTATTTGTAAAATAATAAACACAGTTCTTTCATCTTTCTCTTTAGATGAATTCAGTATTTGTGCTTTTCTAAATTCTAAAAAGATGGCAGGGGGGAGGTGCAGAGTGGATATATGTACTTTTGTTTTGAAAGAAATTGGAGTAAACGGGGAATATTCCTATATGAAATCTGCATGATCTAATTTGCTTTGATTTCTATCATTTATACTCAGTATTGGCATGTAACCATCTTGCAGTGTACTGCCAGTCCTACCACTAAGAGAAACCTTTTTCAAATCCCTGCAGACTTGTTAAAGTATTTTATTTTATTTTTAAGATGGCACCATTTAAGGTCACAGGTGGGCCTTGTAGTGGTATGATGATTGCAATGCTGTATTTTCTTACATAATCTGCACTTTCCCTCCCCCCCGACCAGGTGAGGAAAATGGGGTTTGCATTATATGCAAGGAAAAGGAAGTTCCACAGGTCTGGAAATACAGTGGGGGCTGGGGAGGAGCTGAGGCGGTGAGACGCTCAGTCATCACTTTCACCCCCATATTTACCCCTTACTGCCAAATTCTGGAACCATGGGGAGTCCCCCTTCCCAGCCACGTGCTGAATCAGGCCACAGCCAGACCCTGCATACTGAATCTGACCTTGCACATGGCCCCAAACTTGGCATGATGGGTTCAACCTGGTATGCCAAGTCTGGGACCATGAGGTGGCTCCAGGGCTGTGTGCTAGGTTGGACGTAGCACATGACTCTAGGGCCAGAGTGTGGCCCCAGATTGAGCACACTGAGTCAGACCAAGCATGTGGCTCGAGTTGGTGGGCAGCCCCAGACCTGGCTTGTGGTGCTGGACTCAGTTCACTGGGTTGCCCCAACAGGTAGCTCCAAAGCCGGTACATGGGGTCAGACTCAATGCATGGCCCTAGACCCAGTGCTCTTGGTTGGTCCATGATTCCCATCCAGTGCATGGAGCTGGTACTCAATTGAGTAGCCTCTGCCATTCTGTCAAAGAATCTTTTTCCTTCAGTCTTCTCTTCAAAATCAAGGTGCATACTCTATACCAGGGGCATATTATATATGAGAAAATTATGGTATATTCCTTATTCAGTTAAGAAAGGAAATCATGTGGTGCAGGTGCTTAAGGCACATGATTGACAGCCCAGAGCTCGCAAGTTCAAAGCTGTAGCAGAAGCACTTGCAGTTTGGCCCTGTCAGATTCCAACAAATATGTGAATTCTGCTAAATACCTTGTCATGCAAGGACAGGAAAAAGGAAATGAAGCAGCAGCAAATATCCCAATGACTCATTTGTTGAATGAGTAATTGTAATTAAATTTGGTGGTAATGGTATCACAGAAGAGGTGACCTAATGATTACTTTGGCTTCTTTCTGCAGTAGCAAATCTGAAGCAGTAGACAGTGAAACAGTAATACGTGCCAGAGGTTTGCCCTGGCAATCTTCAGACCAAGATATTGCCCGATTTTTCAAAGGACTCAATATTGCCAAGTAAGAGTATGAGATTTTCTGTAACATCATTTAACTTTGCTTTTAACATCAATCCTTTTAAAATGTAGTACATAATTTTATTATATAAAATATATTCACGGCATATATGAAGTGTATATGCACTTCACTGTACTGTGAACTGCATAGATAAGAACAACACAAGGCTGGGATTATATAATCCACGGCTTTCTGTTATGTTCTTTATTCTTGTAGTTCAAAGATACTTGCACAGGTTTTTCACAATTCTAAAATATTACATATTTATAATTATATGATATCTGTGTAACTAAATAGTTACTATTTAATATTTACTATTTACAATACAATTATAATAAAATTTACAGTTTTTGTCTAGTTTACATATATTCTTCAAAACAAAGAACTGTTGGTAATGTATTATGCATAACCTTGGAACATTTTTATATAGAAATTACAGATATTGTGACCTACAGGAATATGACAGTATTGTCGTATGTATAATTTTAAAAATTAAGTTTGTTTTTAAAAGAATTAACTGGATACCATATTGATATCTGAACAATCAGAATTTAAGAGATTTTTCTATTCTAGGAACAGAGCCATAGTTAATTATTTCTATGTTGCCTTTTTAACATTGTATTCTTCCCTTCTTATTCCTATTTCATAACTTCTTGGTGTATCCTCTACTGCACAATGTGCATTGATAGGGGAAAATCTTGTCAAACAGGTTGGTTTTGTAAAAGAAAAACCAGAAAAACCCAACAACACATACCTTATTTCAGATCTTGCTTCATCTTATTTGACTTCCCCCAAACCCACCCCCCACCATATTTACCCTCCCTTTATTATGCTTTTAGAAAGGGCAAATTAGTAATTAGTATAAACTTGGAGCTATATTACCAGCCATCAGTCACTGATAACATTGTTAAGACCTTTGGATACAAAGCACAGTATAGAAGTTTGCTTCACCTCTATGAGGTTTGGGATGCATATTTTGCCAATGAGGAAACAGATGGTATGGCCACACAAGCAAGTTACCAAAAGGTGAAGTGGGATGTGAATTTCACAGAATAGGAGTTTGTATGGAAAAGCTGCCTGTATGCATGCTCTTACCCTGTTGTGAGTGTGAGGTAGCTTGTTCTTAATGCAAGTAGGTTAAGCTATTTCATCTCCCTTATGAAGGTAAGAGGAATCATTGCTGCAGAGTAGCTAGCATGCTATAAGCTAACACCCTAGTTTATCTTGCAGTAACTTGCATAAGCCTTGGGATGTTCTGAGGAACTTATCCTAAGTTTCCAAGGCCTTGGATTTTTATGGGTAAGATTTCTACCAAAAAGCTGTTACTCCTCTCCCCATAAAGCTACAAAGCAAGCAAAGCATTTTCAAACAAGAAAATGAAGAGATTTTTTTGTTTTAAAGAACAAACATTGTTAATTCACCTGTTGTAATCTCCTACAGCTACAGACTCGGAGTGTAATCAAAAAAATTCTCAGACATTCTGTGCTAATTGGAGAAGTTTTAATTTGGGGATAACATTTCAAAGTTTTAGTCTAGTTTTTAAGGCAGTGATGCTTAAAACAAGCAACAAACAACAAATAGCTTTTCAGCTTATCGCCTATAGCTCTTTGCAGGAAAAAAAGTCCTACTAAAGTGTGTGTGTGTGTGTGTGTGTAAGAACATACCCAATGCACGTTGTTTATTCTGCAATTTGTCTATTTCCATCAATGTTAATTAATGTTCTGCAGTTTTTCTTATTGAACTGGATGTTGATCATGGTATGTGTGCATGTGTGTGTTGTGTTATGACCCTTTGGTTAACACTGGCTGCTTATGGGAATCCTGAGCTAGTCAAGATTGAATGTCACCACATCTAGTTAGAACAGGCTTGGCACTGCCAGCATTGCTTAGAGGAATTTTTTTCTAACAGTCTCAGATGTAGGAGATGAATGTGTCAAGTTTTGCATAATTATCTTTTATAGTCTAAGATATAATCTAATCAACATGGTTGGTGAATATGCGTGCATATATTCTTATATGACTATAATAGGATTGGAGTGTTGTCATAGCTATGACGGTCCAGGAAATGTATGAGAAGCAAGGACATTTTTGTGGTATCTATTGGATCAATTGCACAGTTGACAGAGATGTTGGACAAGCTTTTGAGCATCAAGTGCCCTTCTTCAGACTGCCTGAAGAACACGCCGCAACAACACACACAGTTGTTGAATATATTGAGCATTAAATATACTCTTTTATTTAGGGGTCCTGATATATTTTATAGTAAAAATGAAGGAATATCCTAGACATCAGATTGTTTTAGGTGTTAATTCTAAGAACATATCAGTTTGAAGATGGAATTTTTTTAAAGGTTTTCTTTGTTTATAATGAAAAATACAAAACAGGAAAAGCAAAGCACTGTAAGTTAGTGAGAGCATTGCATGGCAAGAGATTTTATTTTGATTTGATTTGATAAAGCAATGGATTAGATACCAAAATCATTGTTTGTCTAAACAATTTTTGTGATCTAGAGTTGTGGGGTGGAAATGTGTTTATACTAGAGATATTTCCTCGACCATCACCGCAGCAACACCATCACTTAAACACTACTTAAAAGTAGTGACTTATTTTTAAAGTTTGGTCTCAAGATTTTTCAGATGAATGAGTGGGGAAATGATGCCAATGGTTTATAAGGCTTTCATAACTCAATCTCACCTTTTACTTTGGTCTTTTATTTAGAGGTGGTGTGGCTCTGTGTCTGAATGCTCAAGGAAGAAGAAATGGGGAAGCCCTAGTGCGATTTGTCAGTGCTGAACAGAGAGACTTGGCTTTAGAAAGACATAAGCATCATATGGGTAGCCGATACATTGAGGTAAAGAACATATGTTGACAGTATGCCAACTGTCATATTACTGTGCTGAGAATATTTGAAGCAGTCTGCTTTTAAATGAGCACAAACGTATTATATAATTAGTGGGAATTGACTTCCTCTTTAGGAGGGAAGATCAAAAGATCCATGAAAATTAAGGCATTCAGCTTCTATTGAAATTTACTGGGAGGTGGACCACTTTTACCCTCACCAACTATTTTTGAAAATCCAATCTTCCTCTAATTTTTAAAAATAATTTTTTTGTTGGTAGAACTCAGCAGCTATTAAAAGATCCTTTACAAAGTTCTGCATAACTCTAGAAAATGTTCCGTTTCAATTTTAAATGACCTTTGTAATTTTAATATGAGTGATTTTGGGTTTTGTTCCCCCCTTTTACAAAGGTTTACAAAGCTACTGGAGAAGAGTTTCTAAAGATTGCTGGAGGTGAGTAGTAGTAATCCATTCTCTTTCTAGTCTTTAGCTGTATGAGGAAAAAAAAGGAATAACCAAATAGCATTTTTTTTATTTACTCTTCAGAAATTGATATGGCTGTATGCTGTTATCAACTGTTTTGGGACTACTGAGCTTGTGCTAGTTGGGTTGTTCTGATTGTGACACCCACAGGCAAACAGCTTGGTGTTTAGAGGGAGAAACAGAATGTGTGCACTGGAAAAGTCCATTATCTGCCTTATTTTTCCTTGCCAAACCTAAAATCATAATGTGAAAAGCTTTCAGCCTGTCTTTTTGTATGTCACTTTTTTTAACTGCTGTGCCCAGGGTATAAGCACCCTGAAAGGGCTCCCTACAGTTAAGTGATCTGAAGCTTTGTCAGCTACGTGTCTCTTGTGTTGTTACTTAACATCATGTTGCTGCACAGTGCCAGACTGCTTTCTGAGGAAGCTAGGGGTAGCTCCACATCTTGATGGGATTGTGGACTAAATCTCTGTTGTCTCAGGCCCTACAGAACTCGTGACTTCCAAAGGATCTTCTTGCAGTTTCATTCCTTCCTCTGTGGCTAGGTTTCAGATTCTTTACAAACAAAATTAACCTACTTCCTCCCACTCCCAACCTGTTTTCTGCCAGGTACCTCCAATGAAGTGGCTCAGTTCTTATCCAAAGAGAATCAAGTCATCATCCGGATGAGAGGTCTTCCATTCACAGCTACCCAGGAGGATGTCTTGGGGTTCCTGGGGCCTGAGTGTCCTGTCACAGGAGGGAAAGAGGGACTTCTCTTTGTCAAGTATCCAGATGGCAGACCTACAGGAGATGCATTTGTGTTGTTTTCCTGTGAAGAATATGCACAGAATGCACTTAAAAAACACAAGATGATACTTGGAAAACGTTACATTGAACTCTTCAGGAGCACAGCAGCTGAAGTCCAGCAGGTCATAACCATGGGCTGTGAAGCCCAGAAAAATTTTATTTATTTATTTATTTATTTTCTCTCTCTCTCTCTCTCTCTCTCTCTCTCTACTAATGTTAACCCTGTGTACACAATACTGGGTACTGAACCAGACTCAGGAAACTGACCTTGGAGTTACTGTAGATAGTCCTCTAAAAACATCAGCTCAATATGCAGCAGCAATCAAAAAAAGCCAATAAAATGTTGGGTATCACTTAAGGGAATTGAAAATAGAGAAGTTCATCATGCTGTTATACAAATCCATAGTGTGCACACATTTTGAATACTGTGTACTGCGTACACTTCTGGTCTCTGCTGCCCAAAAAAGACGTAGTAAAATCAGAAATGATGCAGAAAAGGAGATATGATAGAGGTTTACAAAATCATGAAGTGGGTGGACTGTGAACAGGGAACTGTTTTCACCAAGTCCCAGAATACTTAAATTAGGGGACACCCATTGATATTAATAGGAGACAGATTAAAACTAACAAGAAAAAGAACTTTTACACGGTGTATAGTTAACTTGTGGAATTCATTGCCGCAGAAGGTGGTGGAGGCACCTAGCACATCCAGGTTCATAAAAGGGCTAGATGGAATGAATGGACACTAGATCTATTCATAGCTATTGAACAGACTGGTTGGGGATGTTTCCTCTGGCATCTCTAAGCTAATAAAGGTGGATGCCAGGGAGGGTATCAGTGGGAGGGTAATGAATAGATCACTGTAAATCAGTAATGCCCCATCTTTCTTCCCCTTGAGCCAGGTGAACGGTATTCAGTCCACCCACAGGCTGGATCTGGCCGGCGGGCCCAGTCTGTTGCATGTTGAGGGGAGTATGGCCCATCCCTGATCTGACTGTACAGGGCAGGGGGTGGGAGGAGGCATGGGAGGAGCCCCTGTCCAGCTGTGCAGGGGAGAGGAAGGGTGTGTGGCTCAACCCCAATCCAGTTGCAGGGGTGTGTGGTCCACCCCCATGGGACTTAGGAATTTGGCAGCAAGAGAGGGTGGCCAGTGGCAAGTCTTACTTGCCACTGCTCTCCAGCCACCCTTGCAGGAGGCTGAACACCCTTGCTCTAGATATATCCAGTTCAACACCCTCCCTCTAAAATATTCACTGCTGCCACTGTTGGAGACAGGTTAGTAGGATAAGTGGACCATAAGTCTGACCCAATAAGGCACTTCCTAGGTTCTTACCTTCTTATTATGAAACTCTACTTCACATGTTGTTACATATAAAAAACAGAAATAGCTGTTATAATAAAGACATCATACACAGTAGATGGCATTTTATAACTATTGGTTGCATAGTATTTCAAATTGATTTCTTCCTTTACCAGCTAATCAAATAGAAATGTTTGAAAAATTATTTTTCCTATAAGTTTGAGATTGTCTTTAAATTTAAAAATACAAGTTAAAATTTTGCAGCAGGTCCCTGAGGGACAGGCCATTCCAAAAATCTGTGAATTATTTTAAGACATTCTGGTGCCCAACTACGAAAAGCTTTACGAGCACTTAAGTCAGTGTTAAGGCTCTAGCTATACAAAATTTATAGTGGTTGATAAATCACTGCTCTCTAACTAAATGGACATTTACAGTGCTCTCCACAACTCTCCTATTAATAAACCCTGTTCATACTTGTAACATGCTTTTTAAATATTTATTACAAACCAGTTACAAATGGAAGCTTAATACAGCATTCAAACTTGCACTTATTTAAGGAACTTTTTAAAATGCTCTTGCTGGACACCTGTTATGCATGAATGTGGACTTCGGTACATAAGTGTGATCCTGTTTGACCCTGCTTGAGATCCTGAAAACGATTAATGCACTTAATTTTGTAAAATGCTGCTGTGTCATCCTTAAGAGAGAATTGCAAAAAAAGGCAGTGAATGGGATAGAACTGCATGTGTTTTGTATTAAGTTTTCCAGGGACTTGAGCAGGACTGGCCCCTGGATTTTTTTTTAAGTGCCTGAATTGGGGAATTGGAACTAAATTCTCACTTTCTCAAAATTATGGTTTCAGATTTCTGATTTTACTTCCCTCTCCACCTCCTCTAATATATTAACTTCAAATAGTGTTAATGGGCACCTGCTCATATTTGCAAAATAAAGCACTGTCCACAGCAGTGATAGGTCACTTCAGAAAACATTTCTTTACTTTGAAATTAGCAAACTTAATCTTTGAAAGTACTGTACCACATTTAAGGAGATAACATTTCCAGATATGGCAGTCTGGGTCTGCCTGCCTATGGAATATTGTAATGCTCAAGGCCAAAAGCAGCCATTACATACATATAGTCTAACCTCCTGCAGAACAGGAGCTGTAAGATTCCATCTTGCAATTTTATAGGCGTTCCACCAACTTTTGTCCAAGCCACATCATAAGCATCCTTTCTCTAAGTAGCTTGAGGGGTGAGCAGAACAATGTTGATTACTACTGTTTACCAGCACTACTGGGGGTAATAGCCATGAGAAGAGCCCAGTATCTGATACTGCTAACTAATTTTGTTAGTGAAATAGCACTACTAGATTATTTGTTTTGTATCCTTGAGAGAGGGGCATAAGTCCTCTAGGACCAAAAAAACTGAAGGCCCACCAGCCAAGTTGTGTTGGTTAAGGAGAGCTAGATTAAGATGCCACGTTGTCCTAGGAAAATACTGTTGTTTTTCTTTGCTGGGGGTTGTATCTGAAGTAAGGTATTCATAGCTCATGATTGAGGCACCTTCATGAGTGAATAGCAAGAAATTAGAGGGATTAAAACCTGGTTGTTGAGGAGCCAACTATACAGAGCCAGCCCACTGTTACCACAAACATAACCACAATAGCCAGTGCAGTAACTAACTGAAAAAAATGATTTCTGGCCTGTCATGTACAGTACATTCAGAGCATTAGAATCCTACAAGGGTGTTTCTAATGAAGCAAGATACTTTTTTAAGCAGAATTGCTGCTGACAAAATGAAGGCTTGCTACTAGAAGGCAGCTTCTACCAGCATAACCTGTTTGTCTGTGCTTATTTTATTACTCATCGTTTAATTATCTCTTGAAGAATAGGTCCCAGCAGCATTTTTGTCACTATAAGTTGTTCCCAGTTATCTCTTTCTTTCTCTTTTGGGAGAAATCAGAGAGCAAATAAAATGCTAATGAGAGTTGGGGGTGTGAGGAGACTGAGAAAATGGATCTCCCATGCCTTTTACTCTTCTCTATTCAGGGGTGAGTATGAGCACTGGCGAAACAAAAAGAGTAATTGGCTAGTATGTAGCTCTAACAGTGTTTTACTCAGGAAAGCAGGGGAGTAAAACTGGTTTTAACAAAAAGAAAAGAAAATCTTGACTATAAGTACTGCATTAAGCAAAGGGAATTTAATAATTGACAGTAATAATTACTTGGGTTTGTCAGCATAGCCAGTGTTTTCAAATGATAAATGCTTTTTGTGTGGGATGTTCTCAGATTAACGACAATCCACTTCTCTTTGTTTTTATCCAGTGAGCAGTCTATTTTTGGTTTCCATCAAACATTTTTCAGAGGGTCTTTTTTTTTTTTTTTTTAAACCTCTTTTTTTTAAAATGGGAAGTTTCAAAAAAAAAAAAAAAAAAAAAAAAA